CTAATTCCTGAAAAACGACCACAACATATCCCTACTGGGGTGTTCAGGCCACTCCCTAGAAAAAATATAGGATTAATTTTGGGACGTAACAATTTAAAAGGGGTACTTGAGGTGATACCTGTAATGGTGGACTCTTGTTTTAAGGGAGAATTAGCAGTCACTGTAAAATCAGATTATGCCATCTGGCTTTCTCCTGAAATTATAATAGCTCAATTAATCCTTTTACCCTGTAATTCCACTGAATATCTAGGAAAAACATTTAGCTTCCAAACCGCTAGGACAGACTGCACTGGTCTCAATTAGTGTGGCATGAGCGCCCCCTACTGGAACTTAAAATTAATCATAAAAAATCCAAAGGTGTGGTGGACACGGGAGCCGACAAATCAGTTCTGTCCTGTCATTTCTGGCCTAAGAACTGGCCCTTACATATAGCTCCAGCTAATTTAGAAGGAATAGGGCAAGTCTCACAGCCTGCTCAGAGTGCCCAGTATTTTTGCTGGGAGGACCAAGATGGAAATAGTGGAGTTTTAAACCCTATGTGTTAGAATCTTTACCAGTAAATCTATGGGGAAGAGATATATTAAGCAAAATAGGATTATTATTAATAACTCCAAATTCTTTGAGATCATTTGAAGAATTTAATCAAGGGTTTCTTCCTGGAGATAATGAAAGATTATCAGGACGAGTATCTGCTTACAAACCAGTCTCCTCAACAAAGATTAATAAATGCTCCAGACCAAAATTTTTACTAGGGGCCCTGAGTGTCTTCCAGATCCAAAACTCAGCAGAAAAAAATCACCTGGCTCACAGAAGAGCCTATATGGATTTCTCAGTGGCCCACATCAGGGGAGAAACTTAAGATAATTAATATGTTGGTTGAGGAACAACTTCAGGCTGGTCATATAGAATCAACGCTTAGTCCTTGGAACACCACTATTTTTGTTATTAAGAAAAAGTCAGGTAATTGGAAGTTACTACAAGATTTAAGGGCAATAAATCATACAATTCGGCCTATGGGACCATTGCAGCCTGGACTTTCTTCTTCTACGGCAATTCCTTTAAATTATAGCTTAATGGTGATAGATCTAAAAGACTGGTTTTTTTCTCAATAAAATTGCATCCTGAGGATTGTGAAAAATTTGCTTTCAGTGTCCGAGCAATTAATTTTAAAGAACCAGTTAAAAGATATTGCTGGAAAGTTTTGCCTCAAGGAATGCGTAATAGCCCAATTTTGTCAAAAATTTATGGGTCAAGCGATAATTCCCTGTAAGAAATAACTTCCTGATGCTTATATTATTCATTTCATGGATGATATATTATTGGCTCATCTAATCCAGAACTACTTTCAGAAATTTTTACTCGGTTAGAGGCTTCACTTATAGCAATGGGTTTGTGCATTGCTCCTCAAAAGATATAAAAGATGCCTCCCTTTCAATATTTAGGTCAGATAATTCAAGGATGTACAATCCTTCCTCAAAATCTACAGATGAAAGTTAAGGAGTTACGTACCCTTAATGATTTTCAAAAACTATTAGGAGATATCAATTGGCTGAGGCCATCCTTAAAACTAAGATATTACAAGGAGATACTTCTCCAACTTCTCCTTGTCAACTGACAAGAGGCTAGAGAAGCTTTAAAAAAGGTTGAAATTGCAATTAAAAATACACAACCTACTAGAATTAATCCTCAAGAACTGGTATATTTATTAATATTTCCAACTGCTCATGCCCCCACAGGAGCTATATGGCAAAGATTGGGAGTTATTGAGTGGATTCATTTAGCCCACTCTCCCCAAAAGACATTAATTCCTTTTCATGACTCTATTACTCAATTAGTAATTAAAGGTAGAATGAGAGTTTTACAACTAGTTGGATCTGAATCTGATATAATCATTCCATTTTCTCTTCAACAGAATAATTGGCTTTTTTAAGCTTCTAGTTTATGGCAAATAGCTTTTGCTGATTTTCCTGGTCAGATAGAAAGTCATTACCCTTGTGATAAAGTTATTCAATTTGCATCAATAAGACCACTTATTTTTCCAAAGATTGTATGTGCCCAGCCCATAGGTGGAGCCCTAATGGTGTTCACTGATGGTTCAAGCTCAGGTAAAGCAGGTTTTTATAGCCATGTCCACACAGAGGTAATACAAACCTCATATACTTCTGCCCAAAGAGCAGAGCTACAAGGTCTCATTTGTGCCTTAAAATTACTTTACAAATTAGCCTATTAATATTTATTCTGCCAGCTTATATGCAGTTGGAGTTACTAAAAATATTGAAACTTCACTTATTGGATATGCATCATCACAAGAGCTATTTAAATTATTTCATAATCTACAAAAGGCGGTGCAAATGCAAAAATACCCATGTTTCATAGGACACATACGAGCTCATACTAATCTTCCAGGACCTTTAACTTCAGGTAATGAGATTCAAGAGACTGAAAATCAACCTGAAGAAGCCTTCACTCAAAAGGAAGAGATCGAAGAAGAATGGAGATAACCCAGCAAGACCCAGCTGAAAAACTGATCTCATGGGAAGATGTGAAAAAGCTGACAATACATGCTTCATGAATAATTCGACTCCTAGGGAGAAATAAGACCCCACTGATGATGGTAGCCCTGCTGGACTGACAGGTAAAAGGGAGTCGAGCAGACACTTACTGGACATATTTCCCAGGTCCACCCTTAGTACACCCAGCTGTGTGGACTAGAGAATTTATTCCAGTGTTTACTAATGACACACATATTACTCCTAATCATGTGACTAGATTTAACTATTCTGGCTACAGTGCCCAATTAGCTTTGTGTTGGTCCCACGATAAACATGCTGTCTCAGAATATCATTTGAGGAAAAGATAGCGATTGGGAGACCTAGACTGATTAATCGTACTATTGATGGAGACTTAAAACCTTATACTAGATCAGTGATCAAAATGGGAGTTTCCCATAATAAACCAGTCATTTCTGCAAAACCTTCACAAATTCCTCATTGTCCTAATAGTTCTACAATAGAAATTGGCACCCTTCCTAGATGGATAGATTGTGTAAATACCTTTCCAGTGCAACATACTGTGTCTAAAGATAGTGGGTATATTTTAGACTGGTCTCCAAAAATTGATAAGACAATTGCGAAAAAGTTCTGCTATGACACCTACAGGATTTGTTAGCAATATTTTGACCTACAGTGAGAGTGGTATTCAAAAGGATGTTTGGTGCTTTATTGCTGCCTCAGAATTCTTACATTTTACAGACAAGCCTTTATGGAAATTTATTGGCAAGAGCTGTAAGGAAGGGTCTTGCTATGGCTTACAAGCTGTGTCCAATCTCCTTACATTTTAATCATTGGAAATGTAAAAGTTAAATGGATAGATGACAGATATATCGTAACATGTAACAAATGTAACCTAACCAATTATATTACTAGATATAATAGAGGAAAAGGAGTGCTGGTACTTCATCAGCCCTCTTTTGTTTTATTGCCAGCTAATATTTCAGAGTCATGGTACGCTGATGCTGGTTTTCAAGTCTTACAACAAATTCATACCCAGCTAGCAAGACCTAGACATGCCATTGGAATTATAATTGTGGGAGTTATAGCCTTGGTTTCTTTCACTGCATCCACAGTCACAACTTTGGTGACTTTATCTCAAAATATTCAACATGCAAAATTTCTTAATAATTTAGCTCAAAATACTTTCAAGACTCTGCACAATCAAGTAAATATTGATGAAAGGATTGAGACTAAGTTAAATGCCTTAGAGGCGACTGTTATAAATATAGGTAATGAACTTTCAGCTTTAAAGAAAGGCTTAAATGCCACACAAGTTATAAATATGTGTGTGTTACAGCTGCCAAGTACAATGCTTCTCTCTGGGATTGGGAGATGGTTAAAAACCATTTGTTGGGTATTTGGCAAAACAACAATAATAACTTGGATCTTTTGGAACTCCATCATTATATCTAAGATATTCGAAATACTAGAGCTGATTTTTCAGATCCTTCTTCTTTAGCTAATCAAATATTAAAGGAATTAAGTGGATTTAACCCTGGAAACATTCTTAAATACTTGGAGACAAGGAGTTAAGGGAGTTAATTCATATGAGTGAATTACTAGGACAGATCACAGATGCTAAGCTGGGTACAACTGAAATGACAAGGGATGGGGGCTCAAAAAGTGGTTGGAGTCAAGGTCACTGAAGCTTTAAGTAGAGGTTCCAGAGGTGGTGTGGTTGCTAGCAATGTTAAGCAAGGTGAAAAGATGGCCATGGTCAAGGTGGCCATGCAGAAAGGAACATACCCACCATGCATAATCTTACTTGCTTCTGTCACTTGTCCCCAGAGGCCCTTGGTAATGTACAGCCCTAACACAGCAGCACTTAATACATGCCAGGTACCAGATGAAGAACCTTAAATTAATTATCCCTAGAGGGAAGAAGTGGGAGACTGGGGGGGGAGAGGCTGAGTCACTTGCTTATTCCACAGACACAGCCAGATTCACCTTGCTGTGAGCCAAGTAAGTAGTCCCTGGTCTCAGCACGCCAACTTGAGTGGAGCAACTGATCCTACAAATGCAATTCAAATTGGAAAGAAACGAGGCTCAGGAGGTCAGGCCACAGCGGGGAAATAAGAATAAGACCTTAAAAAGAAATCATTATTATATTTGCATCAACCCTTTTCAGTAGGGGATTTGCTGGCCCACTGCACAGATGAGAAGAGAATAGAGAGGTTGTGCAGCCTTACTCTAGCCACACAGCCCAGCCCAAGCTTTCCTCTCCATCCCTAGGATCTTTTAACTTCCTCAGTGGAGATAGGGCGGGCTTGGCACCTACAGCTCTACCTGCCACAAGGAGCTGGTGTGCTTAGACTGATTGTGCCTGGATCCTCCCAAATAATGGGCCCTTACTGATTGTGGGGGAGTTGGGAAAAGAGTACCCTTGGTGCTCCTGATTATCCCAGACCAGAAACTAGTTCCTACAACGGTTGGGCATAGTCCTTTTCCTCACTGCAACATCCCCATCTGAGAAGGGAAAAGTGTACAGGTGCTGGTACTGGCCTGGCACACCTATGGGTGCTGTGGACTGCTGGTATGACCAGCAGGTGG